TTTACAAGAGCCCGCCAAGTGGCCTCAGACGCCATTTTTGATCTGGCCACATGGTCCAATGTACTGCCTAATCTTTTGAGTAAAACTGGCACAGAACAATTTCCACAAATTAAAATCTCTTAGCAAGTCACTACAAACAAATTACACACACACAGAATCTTCACAAAGCCCAAGCCAGTTTTTCAACAGCAAATCAACATATGAAACAAACACACTGGAGAAACCAAAAATCACATTTGCGCTTATGGTAGCCAGTGCCATAGGGAAGCCCAATTTCCCCATGGGGCTGACTAACCACGGATGGCTCTGTCCTAAATCCCTTCGTGGTTGCCAAATCTGTTATAGGGCAGGGAGAGGGGCAGCCCAAACCCCGCAAACCTGCCTATTCTAAATGGGTTCTGCCATGCGCCGCATCAACACAAAACATATGAGACTTTAATGGGAAGGAACTTTAATAAAACTAGGAAACAATACAGGTAAGGCAAAGAGTCTAGTTTCTAAATGAAGCACCCAAAGTTACCCATCCCCTCGTGGGTAAAAGTCCATCCATATGGGATTGGCCCAGAGCAAGGCCCCGAAGCCTGCCACAAGTCTAAAGCATCTTCCAGTGGGGACCCACAGAAAGGGGCCAGAAACAACCAGACAAGCCCGGAAGGAAAAGAGCAAAATCAACATCAAGATAAAGGCTGCCATTGTCACCTCCCAATGGATCTCACCCACATCTGTGTCACCCAGTCCACGACCAAAAGACAAGCACAGTTTCTTCACGTGTCTCTAGGCTCCATGCGCCTCCTCTAGGTCTCCTGGCTCCATCCTGTTTCCTTCCTTCCTCAGTCTCTTCTGCAGCTTCTCCTCTTCCTGCTCAGCTCCACCCTCCCTTGGGTGGGGCAGGGAACCTGGAACCTCCCCCTTTCCTGGGGACCACCCTGTTACATAACCTTGTTTGGCTGGGTCTTTACCCATGAGGAAATGGGTAACTTTGGTTGTTTCGTGGGGAAACTAGTTTAATCATACTCTTTCTCTTCTCTTTATTGACACTAATTATATTAAAATTCCCTTCCATTGAAGGTCTAATACGCACTAGAATATGTTTCGTCTTGATGGGGAAGATGGCAGAACCCACTTATAGTAGGCAGGTTTGGGGTCCTGGGTTGCCCCTCACCCTGCCTTGTAACAGAACCATCCCAAGATCTTTAGCTGGGTTCACATTGTAACAGGGTGGTCCCCAGGAAAGGGGGAGGTTCCCTGCCCCTCCCAAGGGAGGGTGGAGCTGAGCAGGAAGAGGAGAAGCTGGAGAAGAGACTGAGGAAGGAAGCAGGATGGAGCCAGAAGGAGACCTGGAGGAGGCGCATGGAGCCTAGAGACACGTAAAGAAACTGTGCTTGTCTTTTGGTTGTGGACTGGGTGACACAGATGTGGGTGAGACCCGTGGGGAGGTGACCATGGCAGCTTTTATCTTGATGTTGATTTTGCTCTTTTCCTTCCGGGCTTGTCCGGTTGTTTGTGACCCTTTGCTGTGGGTCCCCACTGGAAGATGCTTTAGACTTGTAGCAGGCTTTGGGGCCTTGTTCTGGGCCGATCCCATATGGATGGAGTTTTACCCACGAGGGGACGGGTAACTTTGGGTGCTTCATTTAGAAACTAGACTCTTTGCCTTACCTGTATTGTTTCCTAGTTTTATTAAAGTTCCTTTTCATTAAAGTCTCCTATGTTTTGTGTTGATGCGGCGGATGGCAGAACCCATTTAGAATAGGCAGGTTTGCGGGGTTTGGGCTGACCCTTTTCCCTGTCCTATAACAACATGAGACAGATAATGCAATTTCTCTGTGATGACTTCCCTCATCCTTCCACATCACTGTGAAGGTGAGACTTAATTCCTTTTGGGAACATATGTGGGCTCTTCCATGTTTTAGCCAAGAAAAAGATGGAGAGCTTTTGCACTCACACCAACTTGCCATTCTCCTTTATCTCCCTTTTTAAACCAAGCTGCCTGCCATCTGATATCTGCACAGATCTTTGTCTTAACAAAGTAATTTTGGGCCTCCCAGGTTGCTCAAGGGGTTTAGATGCAACCTATGAAGCTATTCACAGCCACTGCAGCACGAGTTCGATCCCCAGGCAGGGAACTACCCACATGGCACAGCAGACTCTCCTGACTAGCCTGCTGTTCCCCTCAGCAATGTATTTCAGTCATTCTGTTGTAGAGCAACCCCGATACAAAACGGGGTGCCTGACTGTGGGTCCTCACCCGCGCGCTTAAAAGGACTTATCAATGCTCTACTGCAGGCACACGCGAAAGGTTCATAAAAGGTTTATTTACATGGGAATGGGAAATGAGGAAATGTACAGCTCAGGGAGAAAAGTGAGAGACAAAATTTTAAATGAGTCCTACCCGATCCGCCGATCAGGAATCCCAAAATGGCGCTCTGAGAGCTGGCTGCCAGCCAGGAGCGGTGAAGCCAGGAGGCGAGCAATAGCGAGCCCCCTCAAGGCCCACGTGTTTGGTTTTTATATCCAACCTGGCTGCTCAACTCCACCCTCAGGTCCCAGCTACCCTCCTTTTGGTGGTGATGAGATTTGTCTTTCCCAATGTCCTGATGGCTTTATTCTGAAGTGGGGGTGGGGTCCACAAAGCCTGTATGGGATTAGCTAGGGACATCCTTTCCCCCTAACAATTCTGCCTGTTCTGCTCCCCACTCTGTCTCTGGTGAATCCTCTCACCACCACCCCCCGCACCACACCTCTGGCCTGCACCCCACTTCTTGTATGCATAAAAAAATAAATCTTTAAAAAAAAAAGACAAGTAGGGCCTCCCCGGTGGCGCAGCGGTTGAGCGCTGGGTTGCGAAGCTGCCCGCAGCGTCTGCGGCGCCGGTTCGATCCCCCGGCTGCTCCCCGGCCACGGGAGGAGGGTCCCACATGGCGCGCAGACCTCTCCTGCCGCCCGCTGCTCCCCTCAGCAGTGTACTTCGGTCCTTCTGCCTGCTCTGCTCCCCGCTCTGGCTCTGGTGAATTCTCTCACCCTCCCGTGCTTCTGACTGTACCCAGTGCTTGTATAAACAAACAAAAAAAAAAGACAAGTAATTTCAAATTCAGTCACTATCTAACCCTAAAAAGAATGCTTTTTGCTGATGACAGACATGATGCATGAAGGACAAGGAATCACTCAAACTTTTAATGCTTTGGCTGGAGTCAGTGTAACACTCCAAATTCCATATTGCTACCACCCCATTATTCTCTGTGGGACAGTGATTCTGCCCCACTAGTCAATAAACCAAACCCAAAAAACCCATATCAATTCATGGAGTTTGATGATGAGTATCAGAGATCATTGGACAATGTGGACACTTACTACCTGTTTTTGGTGGGATAGAGAGGCGGGCCCTTACCTGAAGTTACCTGCACTGGGACTTTGTTGGGTAAACTTTGGCACACTTAGCCTTTCTTAATCAGCTTCCTTGAGGGGGAAAAGAAAAAGGAAGGATAAGAATCTTGCCCAGACACACAGTGTTAAATGAGTCAATACAACCTTTGAGGTTTGTGCTAAATCGAAGTTTTTTTTTTTTTTTTTGTAAGGACTGAGAACAGTTTTCAGTGGCTGCCTTTTCCTTATCTTGGAAACTGGCAGACCATAAAGGGGTTTGAGACTCAAGCTCCTGAGACTCCTTCATAACATAAATTTCCCCCTTCTTAGTGGATTTATAATACCTATTTAGCAGAGGCATAGAGGACAAACATATTCTTTGCAGGGGGTGCTTCTCAAATCCTTTTTGCTCCCATTTTCTTTATACTTTGGGCAGGGGTAACTTTCTTTGCAGTATTTGCTGTCAACACTATTTCAATTCAGTTGACTGGCCCTCCCATTTTTTTCCAGCTTGAAATAACACTGGAAAGAGACCTGTATAATATTTTGGCCCCATTCAGTGATGATCTGGAAATCCTGGGTAAAAGCAGATTTGCTTTTCTCCTGCAGTCTCAACATCCCTTTTAAGCTCATTTTAAAAAACAGATCAGGGGTCTTCCCTGGTGGCGCAAGGGGTTAAGTCTCAGCACTGTGAAGCTATCAGCAGCCGCTGGAGCACAAGTTTGATACCCAACCAGTCCAGGGAGCTAACCCACAAGGCACAGCAGACCTCTCCTGTCTCGCCTGCTGCTCCCCTCCCCTCAGCAGTGTATTTCAGTCAATTCGCCAGTTCTGCTCCCCATTCTGTCTCTGGTGAATACCACTTCCCCCCTCTGGCCTACACCCCAGCTCTTATATGCATAAATAAATAAAATAAATCTTTAAAAAATAAAAAGTAAAAAAATAGATCAGGTCTGTGAGAAACCTGAACTGCAGTAAGTAAATACCCATATAGTTTTGTCCCCCTAGATCTATCAAAGCTGGCGGGGCAGAAGCGCAAGTCCGCTTGAGGAAAGGCTTGCAAAAACCTGGTCTTTCTTTCTGCAGTGACTGCGGACCACAGGGGAAGCTGTGGTTGGAATCTCCCCCCGGGAAGAGAGCGACCCTCAGCTAAAGGATTTGTCTGCCAGGGAGACGGCGGATACGTGCAGTACGCCACCCACTCGTGAAAAGAGATTCCCACTCTCTAGATAAGCAAGACCTAGCCCTACAGCTGCGTGTGGAACGGAAGGGAAGAGCGAGACCTGGACGCGGCGTAGAAGACAGCTAAGTCGTGCTCTTTGCATTTCCCTCTCCTCGAAAACCTTCCCGAGAGGCCCTTTTACACTCGCACGAGCAAGACTCTCTCAGGCGCCCCCCGACACATCAATAGCTCACGTCGGGCGTGAAGAAAATGCCAACATTCTGCAGATGAAAACTCTGCTCTCCAAAGGACCATTGCTGAGAGTTCTGGGGGAGGCGGGGCGCAGCGGAGGGAGGCCGCCCAGGAAGCTGCAGCGCCCTCCGTGCGGATCCCGTTCGGGGGCATCCCGTTGGTTGACGGAGGAGGTGGGGCGAGGGCAGAGCGCAGAAATAGGGCTCGGGGCTCGCAGACAGCCAGCCACGAGCACGGCCCTCGGCCCGGCGCCAGCCCCGCCAGCGGCCGGTGTGCGGCGGTGCGCGGCTCCCGCAGAGATCCGCGCGCTGGGAGGGCCCCCGTGAGTCACTGTGAGTCGTCGCAAACGCCGAGAGGAAATCGGCGCAGGGTGGGGCGCGTTCCAGGCTGAGCTCGAGCGCTCCGCTCGCGCCGCGGTGTCCCTGCGCTCACCCCGGCTCCGGTCCTCCGGCCGGTGCCACCTGGTCTGCGCCCTTGGCGGTGGCTTCCGCGCTCGCCGGGGCCTCCAGCCGAGAGAGTTAACCCGCCGCGGTTAGGAGGAGCCCGGAGAGGAAGGAAGAACCTCGCCGTCGTTCTTAAAGTTTTTTTCCTTCCCCTCTTCCCTGCAGTGAGTTCGGGGAGGCGGCGGCGCTGACTGCCCGGAGCCGGGGCTCCGCGCCTCTGCTGCCCGAGCTGCCGCCCGGCTGCCGGGGCGTAGGGACAGCTGTCACGCTCCCCCTCTCCGTGGACTCTTTCCGAGAGGGTGTCCCGAGCCATGGAGGGCGCAGAGCTGGTCGGGAAGATCCTGTCCACCTGGCTAACGCTGGTGCTCGGCCTCATCCTCCTGCCTTCCGCCTTCGGGGTGTCTCTGGGCATCTCCGAGATCTACATGAAGATCCTGGTGAAAACTTTAGAGGTAAGTGTCCCCGCTCCTCCGAGGGTTTCGAGAGAGCCTGGGCGGCGGGGGTCGAGGGTAGAGTTGTGAGAGCCGAGTTGACGCGAGGGCACCAGTGGGCAAGGTCAGTGGGCGCGAGGGGCGAGCGTTTCGGTTTGTCCTGCGCGGCGTGGCGGAGCCTGCATCCCGGCCCCCGCGCGCGCCGGCAGCTCCGCGGAGACCTCTGGCTTCTCAGTGAGTGACCTTAGGGAAGTCACCTATTTCTTGTGCCTCATTTTCCTCATGTAGAAGTACCATTAACATTTATTTCCATAGGGTTGTTTGAGTTAAAATGCCATATTAGAAGTTTGCCTGTTACAGGGTAGATGCTATGTAAGGCAAAGAGCCCGGCTCCCTGGCTCAGTTATTTTTATTGATGGGAATAATAACTGTACCGCCTTTTAAATCAGCGGATGTCTTTTCATCCACTGTACGGTACGACTGTCGCTCTCTCCTCATCTTAGTTTTTGGGGTCCCGGGTTTCAGAGGTCCTTTCGGGTGCTGAGGCATCCTGTCCAGAAAGTCGTACTGTTCCTTATACTCAAGATAAGAAACCAAGTACTCGTTGGTAGAAAGAAATCTGATTATATTATAATGGAGTCACGGATATTTTGTCTAACTAGTGGCACGTGAAATGTCATTGAAAATGTGTATTCTTTGACCTCTCCTCGCTCTCCTGTTTCCAGATTCTGCAAAGCAAGGAGTGGAAGGGGGAAGTAGGAGCTGTGTAAGGAAAGCTGTAGCTTCTCATCATGGAAGGCCAAGGCCTTCCCTTTCCCCTCTCATTAGATGGCCCCAAAGCCTTGGGCAGTGGGGAAGGCAAGTGTTGTCCCTCTTGTAGAGTTACGGGAACTGAGATTCACAGAAACTCAGTGTTTTGCTTGAATTATGTGGCAAATTAGGGAGTCTTCGCTGAGGACCACACTGTGGTCTAGTGGTTAGGCGAACAAATCTATCAGGATTTGTGTTTGCTTAGACCAAAACACAGCTCTGTGCTTCTCAGTGTGTGACCTTGGGGAAGTCACCTATTTCTTGTTCCTCATTTTTTTTTTTAAAGATTTATTTATTTTTTATTTATTTATACAAGCACTGGGTACAGTCAGAAGCGTGGGAGGGTGAGAGAATTCACCAGAGCCAGAGCAGGGAGCAGAGCAGGCAGAAGGACAGAGGCACACTGCTGAGGGGAGCAGCGGGCGGTAGGAGAGGTCTGCGCCATGTGGGACCCTCCTCCCGGGGCCGGGGAGCAGCCGGGGATCGAACCTCTTGTGCCTCATTTTCCTCATTTAGAAGTACCATTAACATTTATTTCCACAGGGTTGTTTAAGTGAGTTAAAATGTCATATTGGAAGTTTGCCTGTTACAGGTTAGGTGCTATATAGGTATTTGCTGCTCTTAAAAGAATGCTTAGTTTTTAGCATCCTTGTTTCTCTAAATTCCAGAGGGACTTCTAACACAGGTTCTAGTTTTACTACCCTTATTTTTGTCTGCCTCGGCCCAGGAATTGATGTGCTCTTCTCCCTCAGCTAGTGGGGTTAGCCGTCTTTAACCTGCTGTTCTCCTGTTGGAGATTACCTGCTAATTCCACCTGATGATCTGTTAATTCTTCTACCTGCTAGTTACAGATTTTTGTTGGATTTTGTGCCTATTTTTTGGTCTAGTCTTTGACTTGTATTTAATTCTTCAACCTCAGCCCTCTTGTTTTTAAAGTTTTGCTGTTTCTTCTTGGGAAATAATTTCAATTTTGAACTTTTGTTCCTAACTTTACACTCTGAACTTGGTCGTATACTATGTCTTAGCTGCGTCTGACTGGTGCACCCTCTGAGCATACTCTTCTCATAGTAGATTAGCTCCTTCAGGTGGTTACTCTTTCTCAGAACTCTGACATGACTGGACTTTTGTCCCATACAGCAATGTCTTTTGGAATTTGTATCCAAGTGAGAGTGGAGTGAAGGTAAATCGTGCCCACTGGCTTCCAGGCGTGGACTCCTACATGTCTTGCTTTAGGGATTCAAGGTACAGTTAAAGAGATGTCACGGAGAGAGGCCAGCTGGGTGCTGTTAGTCTGGCAAAGAATCCTATGATACTTTGAAGGGATATTCCAGAATCTTATTTTCGATTTGACAGTGTCTCAGGTTTTAATTTTTTCTTCACCTGGAGTTTCAGAGATGTACTCCTTGTTAATCGAAGTCTTGAGATTGCCTGTTCTCTAAATGTAGTGGGAGATATACCCCTTAGCTTGCAAGCCAGTTAGATGGAAGTGTAAAGAACTATCCTCTGTGCTAAGGCTAAGTTACAATAAGAGATCAGAGAGACACTTGGCATATATGAAAATGGAATGGGGATTCATTTCATGAATCAACTCTGGTGGTAGCTCTCGGCTGATATTGGGGAAAGGTTGGATTCATCAGGCAAGAGCTGGCTGGGATCCCACAGTTGATGTCTGTTTTAAGCACAGGAGGGGTAAATAGCAGGCCAGGGTTTGTCATTCTTCAACTAGGACAGGATTGTTTCAAAGTCTTTTTTTTTTTTTTTTTTTAGGCTGAAGTTAGTATATTGCTTCCTCTAACTATAGGGGTAATTTTCTTAAAAAATGGTGCTGGTTGTTTAGTATTGAATATATTTAGTTCTGGAGAAATACCTTGCTTTTCTGTAGATTCCATTCAAGGCCCTGCCCTCCTGTTACACATTATTGGTTAGTTCTTAATTTTGGTTTTCTTTTGTGTTCTAGTCCCAAGAATATTCTTTGGGCTCTTTGATTGCACTAAGAAGTTTCTCCTAACCAACTTTCCTTGGTTATGATTTGCATACTATTTTATTTTTTTTTAATTTTTTAAAAAATATTTATTTATTTATGCATACAAGAACTGGGGTACAGGCCAGAGGTGTGGGAGGTGAGAGGATTCACCAGAGACAGAGTGGGGAACAGAACAAGTGGATTGACTGAAATACACTGCTGAGGGGAGCAGCAGGCGAGACAGAAGAGGTCTGCTGTGCCATGTGGGTTGCTCCCTGGCTGGGAATTGAACTTGTGCTATACAGGCTTTGGATTGCTTCATAGGTTGTGTCTTAACCCCCTGTGCCACGAGGAAGGCCCTGCATACTATTTTAAAAGGTCATTTAGATTAGTACATTCTGTGTATACTTTTATAAGTGCTTTTTCATGGCCATAAACTGAAATTTTGGAAGCTGAAATGTGTGCAGGATACCTTCTGAATAGCTGACTGTGGTAATAGCTGACTGTGTTAACCACCCAGCTCTATGGTCTCCTCAGCTTACCAGTTCAGGTAATAATTATTTATTGCAAGCTGCCTACTGCATTGCTGCAATACAGCCATCTCTAGATGTGTGTATAAGTCCCTGAGTGGCAAGCCATTTGAGGACAAGTTTTGCATTCTTAGCTTAAAGTAAGTTTTGTGATTCTCTAAACCAGTGAGTCTCAAGATATGTCAGTATTATAATTTTGTATTGGGAAAATTGTTTTAGGAATATAAGTTATGAAAAGTAAAACAATTGAGAGGATAGAGAGAGGGTAGTTCATCTGGATGGTGAGGGTGTATGTATTAGAATCTCTGGGAGAGTGTGTGTGAAGGTTTTATGTTGACCAAATAGGAGCATGGATTAAAGGTTGGAAAATGCCTTTCTTAAACATGAAAGTTGATGGGGTTGGGAGTGGTGAGCAATTGCTATTCCTTGACCTAAGGCTCATGATTAGAGGATAATAAAAGTAGAAAGAGAATATTATCTGCCTACTGCTTGCATTATCTGGTGAGGAATGCTATGCGAATTATCTCATCTCACCAGATAATGCAGGCAATGGGCAGATAATAAATGTTCATGGGCCAACGATTCCCTCAACTTTTGAAGAATAAACCAGAAGCGTAAATAGTTTCCTCCAAATGTCTGACCTTGGTTTCTACAGAGGTTCATAGGAAACTACCTTTTAAAGTCTTGGTGCAGATAAGTGAGGAGAAATACATGAAAGCACTTGATATATAGTAGGAGCTCAACTCTTAGTGGGAGTTGGAGTTCAAACACTCATCCCCCACGCCCCCCCTCCATGTGGCTAAGATTTAATTTATCTTCAGATCTTTGACAGGTTAACTCACAAGGAACAAATAATTCCTGCCTTTTTTTTTTAAATTATTCTTTCCTTAACCCTTTCCTCCATTCACCAGTTAGCTTTCCATCTTTTAAAAAAAATGTGTCAATAATTCTCAGATGTTTATAACACCTTGTTTTTATAATAATCAGGTATTAACCCTTGTGTTGGAAATTCAATAAATGTGCAGGCAGGCCATGACTGCTTATGACAGAATGTCATAATAAAGAAAAGCTACAGGGCCTCCCTGGTGGCGCAAGTGGTTAAGATGCAACCTTATGAAGCTATCCACAGCCACTGCAGCACAAATTCAATCCCGGGCCAGGGAGCTACCCACATGGTGCAGCAGAACTCTCCTGACTCTCCTGCTGCTCCCCTCAGCAGTGTATTTCAGTCAGTCTGCCTTTTATGTTCCCCTCTCTGTCTCTGGTGAATCCTCTCACCGCCCCACACCTGGCCTGTACCCCAGTTCTTGTATGCATAAATCTTAAAAAAAAAAAGAAAAGCTACAAAGGGAACATACTTTTCACTTAAATTAGTTCCAAAACAACTCTCTGAGACAGGACCTATTATTACTCCCCGTGCTAGATTGAGGAATGACAGTTCAGAGAGGTCATTTTTCTGAGCAGTGACACACAGCTGTCCTAGTCTATGGCAATTACCATTTACATAAAATCACACGTATGCAATAAAAGAATTAAGCTCTCAGATGAGCAATGATTACAAGATTTTATTTTCACTGTATCTTTGATCTTCTTACAAATGGCAATAGGTGCCAAAACATTAAAGTGAAAAACTATGGGAATAAACCTTTACCGCTTCAGGAAAGATGGGAGGTATAAGTCAGAGTTTAAGAACTGCTCCAAATCACCAAGGAAGAGAAAAGGACTCAACCAGATTAAGAGTGAGTATTATTAGCATTTGCGACTTGCCATTTGAAGCCCAGAAGATTAGACTACTATGTATAGACTATTCTCTACATGCAAATAGCTTATTCCTACTTGACTCTGAGATGTTGTGCAGAATTCCACATGTAGTTGGATCATGCCTTACATTTGACCTTTGCGTACATCTTTTAGGTTATTTGTTCTTATCAGTTATTTTCTTATTTATTTGATTTTTTTTTTTTTTGCCTCTTTGAGGTTTTTGCCTTGAAAAATATTCCATTTGCAGGGAGCTTAAATCCTAATTATAATTATTATGATGGCTTTTACCTTTTACTTGCTTTTTCTACCCTTTCCCCGGGTCAATCAATTTAGACATTGTTAGCTTTTGGAATTATAATCATTGGAACAATATTTTAATTGCTTCTTTTCTAAACTAGAAAAAATAGCCTTTATAATTTTCTCAAATGCCATCAAAATAGTTCACTTGCAGCAATTTTTGAACTATGATGTTAATGGTAGATAATTTTAGAAATGCCCAAGAAAGTATAAAGACAAGAATAAAATTGCTTCTTGGTATGTTTCCTTATCTTCCTATGACTATTCAAAACAAACTGGGAGTTGGTGTTTCCTCTTCTTAAGATTGCTCACACCTGTGGTTCCTCATAATCATAACATTTTCTCTACACGTCACAGTAGGTAAGCGACCTGCAGGCAGGTGATCTCTGTAATTAGACATTTATTTCTCCCATTGCTATCTAGCTCTCACACTGCCCCTTTCTGCCACCTTATTCCTGATTCAGGCAATTTGGCCTCTTCGAGTGTGTCTTATTGTTGAATGTGTAATTTATTATGAAATTATCTAATAGTTACTTTGTGGTCCTGTGTTTAGGTCTTTATATGTGTCAATCTTTTTTTTTTTTTTAAAGATTTTTATACAAGAGCTGGGGTACAGGCCAGAGGCATGGGAGGGTGAGCAGATTCACCAGAGACAGAGTGGGGAGCAGAACAGGCAGACGGACCGAAGGCACTGCTGAGGGGAGCAGCGGGCGAGACAGGAGAGGTCTGCCGTGCCATGTGGGTATCTCCCCAGCTGGCCGGGAATTGAACCTGCGCTGCAGAAGGTGCAGACAGCTTCACAACGCTGCGCTCAACCCTCTGTGCCACTGGGGAGGCCCTATGTGTCAATCTCTTTAATCCTCATAGCAATCCTATGGGATAGGAACTATTATCCTCATTTTACAGATGAGGAAATTAAAGCCCAAAAGGATTACATAACTTTAAACCCAGACTGTCTCAATGCCATAACTTTTGCTTTTTTTTAAAAAAAAAAAAAAAGATTTATTTATTTATACAAGAACTAGGGTACAGGTCAGATGTGTGGGAGGGTGAGACGATTCATCAGAGACAGAGCGGGAAACAGAACAGGCAGACTGAAATACACTGCTGAGGAGAGCAGGGTGTGAGACAGTAGAGGTCTGCTGCGCCATGTGGGTATCTTGCCAGCTGGCCAGGATTGGACTGGCACTGCAGACAGAGGCTGTAGGCAGCTTCACAGTGTGGTGCTCAACCACCTGTGCAACCAGGGAAGGGCCCCCCCCCTTTTTTAAGATTTATTTATTTATTTATTTATTTATTTATTTATACAAGCACTGGATACAGTCAGAAGCACGGGAGGGTGAGAGAATTCACCAGAGCCAGAGTGGAGAGCAGAACAGGCAGACTGACGAAGCACACTGCTGAGGGGAGCAGCTGGCGGCAGGAGAGGTCTGCGTGCCATGTGGGACCCTTGCAGGTGGCCGGGGATCGAACCGGCACTGCAGAGACTGCGGGCAGCTTTGCAACCCAGCGCTCAACTGCTGCGCCACCGGGGAGGCCCTCTTTTTTTTTAAATAATATTTTTTTAAGTTTTTTTTAAAGATTTATTTATGCATGCAAGAACTGGCGTACAGGCTAGAGGTGTGGGGAATGAGAGGATTCACCAGAGACAGAGTGGGGAACAGACCAGGCACATTGACCAAAGTACACTGCTGAGGGGAGCAGTGGGTGAGTCAGGAGAGGTCTGTTGTGCAATATGGGTTAGCTCCTTGGCCGGGGATCGAACTCATGCTGCAGTGGTTGCAGACAGCTTCATAGGTTGACGTCTTAACCCCTTGCGCCACCTGGGAGGCCCCACAACTTGTGCTCTTGACTCATATTTTTCATGCCCTTTTCAGGGAATAATTTATTGAGGGTACCAGGTGTGTGAGGGGGTTTAAATAGCATTAACATGATCTTTTGCTCATTTTATTGGGGCACTGTCAATAACTATAATAACAGTGTTCTTGGGACTTGGAGTATTTCTGCATCAGAGATTTCCCTGGCATCTCTTTAATTCAAATAGTGCAGAGATTAATGGTTAATTTCACTACTGCATGAGCATGGTTTAAGTATTTTACATTGAATACTTCTTGTTTTTGAACAGTGGGCCACAATACGAATTGAAAAAGGAGTCCCAAAGGAGTCAGTTCTGAAAAACACAGCTTTTGGTGGTAAGTCTTCCTCTTCATTATGATTGTTACAATATCCAAATTAGGTAGGCTTATCCAATTTGAACTTGAGATATGCAGAGAGTTAGTGCATTCTAAAGGCCCCAACCATTCATAATTCCGTTCTTTATGCAAAAAAAAAAAAAAGCAGCTGCCTGAGTTTTGATTGAGTTTTTACTATAAAGGTGGTAATGTGTGCTGGTTCGTTTACGTGTTCTTACAGAGTATTTCTAAAGACTTGCATGTAAAAGCGGTTGCTCATGGTTTTAAAGATGTAGCCAATGGCATTTACACCTATTTTGAGGTTTTGTTAGTACATTTTTTTTTAACTTTTGGTTCTCAAATTATCTTCCTCCAAAACTGTTTCTTGCTAAAGGTTGATTAGTAATTCATAAAATAGAACTCTTCCATGAAATAAGCTTGGAAAGCACCACATAATTATATATTCCTTTTGGAGAGTATTATTGCGTAGAAACAATTGCTCAGAAAAGTCCCGCAGTAAGAAACTTGTTTAATATTTCTAGAAGTGAGTGAACAAATCAAATGAGCTAACTGTCCCAGTTCTGTTTGTGTGCCTTGCCTTTGACCCAGTAAACCCTCTTTCACTTGGGGTCAGAATTTTAAGAACATTTAAGACATTGGGTTTATAGGGGAGCAGAAGTCTATGGGAACAACAAATATGAATTTAGGAAGAAATAAATGGTGAAGTTTAATACAAACTAAGCCTTTATATGTTTTTCAAAAATAATTGTTGAAACAATTTTATGCCCATGTAATTTGGGATTAGAGAGGATCAAAATGTCAAAGACACAACGAGAAGGAATTTGTCTTCTGGAGGTTTTTCAAAAAATTGTGGAAATTGTACATTCTAGTGTATTTTGAAAAAACAAAACAAAACAGTAGAGTGAAAACATCTGTATAATTTTGTGTAGTTGGATTGTTATGTTCAGTTGGTTGAAGTAACTAGTATTGCTTCATGGTATGAATTTAAACTTCAAAATATTATCACTAGTAACATTTTTACCAAGATTGTCTAGTTATACTCGATCCCTTAGTCATATACCTCTCAGGTATAACAGATCTACTAATTTTTTTTTTCCTGAATACATTTTTAAATCTGTGTCCTTAGCATTTAAGGAGACAACAAACTTTATTTCTGTTGTATTTGGTGAGACTTTAGGCTGCCATTGATTTTGAGTGAAATTCCAGGGGGCCTATCGGTTGGGGTGGTGGTGCTTGTCTTGGGCCATGAATCTAAAAGGGCAAGGTGTTTCAAATTTTAGATTAAGAGGACTGAAAAATAGAGGAAGATGTTCCAGTAGCAGTGGTTTAGTTTTGTTTTTTTTTTTTTTTTTGGGCATAGGGAAGTGGACGTTTTCACTAGTTATGTTTTTCAGCATAAAACTATCTTCACTACTTTTTGTCTTTGACTTTTCCATGGTACTTCCAGGAAAGAGTAGAATAGAAAGTATAAGTCATAATGGTTGAGAGTAAGGCTCATATCTACAAAATTTGTCACATATCATTCAGAGTGACAGCCCCTTCCCCCCATCCCATGACAGCTGTCTTTATTGGGGACTGACACCTGGTACCCTGGACCGCCCCCCCCCCACCCCCCGGCCTCTCTCAGCTTCCTTTCTAGGTGCCTTGCTAGTGGTGCTGCTGTTTGAAGTGCACGCCTCAGTAAAAATGCAGGTGTCCCTTTTTCTTTAAGTGGGTAGAACCTTTGGGTGGCTGAGCTCCCCCCAACCCGCCCCAATCCCATCATGCCATCCCACGGCCCCCTACCTTGCTCATGGGCTACTTGGCTATCAAATCAATAGAAAAATTTTCATTCAAGTCCAACTTTTTCTATAGTTTATCATCACAAACCTGGCCAGATTGCATACTGGAAAAAACCGGTGCCCCAGGGGAGGCTTAGTGCCAGCGCCACTGCACAACTCAGACCCAGTAACTGGCCCGTCAGCGCTGTGGCAGTCTTCGCTGCTGGCTTTTGACCTCTGCCCTTCCTTTTAGCTTGAGAAATTGGGAATTGACCATCGCGGTGATTGAGCATTTACTACATGTGAGGTGAATGTGGTATCCAAAGATGAGTAAGACAGTGTCCCGGTGGTGTGACAGGCATCCGGCTGGCCCTGTGATGCATGCTTAGGTAGGTGCATAAGCACGAGATCTAATTTAGGCTCTGAGATATGCTCCTCTCATCTCTGTTAATCCCACAACTCTGCATGGTATGCACCTCCACTCCCATCCTGATTTAAGTGCTGCTTGGGCAGCCCTGTTATGGGGTGTGTGCCTGTTGATACATCCGGATGTTTGAAGTAAGCAGAGAGGTAGTGGCATTCTAGACAAATTGGCTGAGGATGATGAAACACAACGAGTGCTTGTGTGGTTGGCTGGTGCAATCTTTTGCATTAGGACCATCATGTCTCAGTACTTCAGTCAACTCCACTCCAAGTCAGTATCCAGTGATCAAAGTTTAGGTCAGAGTCCCAGGCAGGCCAAAGGCCCCAGGGAGGCAGGTGTGATTCTGAGATGTCTCTGAATGATACAGTGTTGATGATAGGTTTGGGGAGTTGAGAAGGATAGTTATGTTTATGTTATGTACCAAAAAAATTCCTCCTGATAATCTTTTACTTGATGAGTTTTTTTTTTTTTTGGAAATACTTTTCAGGTCTCCTTACCAGCCAAACCCCTGTTCCATTGTGTTTCTTCTGTGCTTTTATTGAATGGACCAACAGAAAGCTGAATCGAGGGAACTGTTATCTTTGTGGTTATGTCTCTTCTATTTTCAGCCACATTCTATTGTGTCATCTATTAAAAAACTAATCTACCGAGCTTCAGATATGATCTCTTGAAGATCTTCCTTCCTCTTTTAGCTTTAAGAATTTTTCCTCATTGTTAGTTCAATGATGAAGATAAATTTTTTCCTACTTCAAGTAACTGTTATACTGAACATTCAACTTCAGTGGAGAATACAATTACACTTTACTCTAGTTTTTGTTACCTGGGAACGTATGTGATAGGAGGCTCTAAGAAGAGGAAGGTAATGGCTCATTTGTATCTGTTGTTTTAGCCCCACTACAATCATAGGACAGATGACTGTGATTTTAGCAAATTTTATTTTTCCCTCTTCATAAATAGTGCAAGGGACTCTTTGACTATTAGGATCTACTGACCTCACTCTTGGGGTCCCTCTCCTATGCTATCATACACAATTAGTTATTAATTTTGATCGTGATTATAATTAAGCATGTAATTTTCACAATTCAAGTTTAATTCCACTCTAGTTGCATTGTGGTACTAGGGCATTTTGAATAATGACAAACCAGAAGTCAACAGGCAGGAATAAAAGGCATGTAGTTGCCTTTGCCCCAGGAGTGAGTCACAACCCATACAAATAAAGAAGGAGGTGGCTTAGCTTAGTCATTTTGGCATTGTTCTCTGGAAAGTGTTGCTGGCCTGACTCAGCACTTTGGGCACTGGAAAATGCATGCCACCTCCTCAGGTCCTCCAAGTTGTCCTTTTGCAGCGAGAACGCATGCACACGCACAGAGATTTTGGGTCACATGGACTATGGTTAATTAAGTCCCTGTGCTCAATTTCTCTTCTGTCCCCCAATCCCCACCTTTTACACCTCCTCTTCCCCAACAAAGAAAAGAATGCTTTAGGGAAAGCCTCTGATGGTATACCTATTCTGAGATAATTCATGTTGTCTAACATTTCCCTCTTATTTTATTTTTCCATAGAAAATTTGTTTTGTGAGACTTGACTGACCACATTGATACTTGTAAAACACTGATTATATGAAGTCATCAAATTTCTTGGCTTCACAGAAAATGTGGGATAACATTTAATCACAGACTTTTGAGGAATATAATTTTATCATATTAATTTTGTTTTGGTAGTCTGTTTCAGGCAGCTAAATTGATTTAATTCTTGATATAAATTCTTTGACTATAGATCACTGTCTGCTCTCCTCAAGGTTGTGGCATATAATGCATTTACTGGGGTTTCCTTAATGATAAATTAATGATAAAACATTGGACCTAATTTAACTAGTTGTATCAATAAAAAGAACCCAGTTGCCAGATGTGGAAGAATCCTTGGTTGAGTTTTTCCTTTATCATGGCAATGTCTACCTGATTTTATTAGTTTTCCCTTAATGATGAGTATTGGTGATAATGACGATGACAATTTTGAAACATACGTAGAGAAATAGCATAATGAGAAATAGAGAAATAGCATAATGAGCCTCATATAGCCAGATTCAGTATTTGTCAAGATTTTGCCATATTTGGTTCATTTATCATTCTTTCTTGGTAAAGCAAGTATTTAACACAGATACAAAATTTCATGTCTTTCCATGCATTTCTCAAAAACTTTAAAAATAGCCACATTGCTATTATCCTTTTAATAAATGTAATAAATTTTTTTTTTAAATTACACAGCAGAACTAGCTGTTTTTTTTTTTTTTTTCTTAAAGATTTATTTTATTTATTTACACAAGCACTGGGTACAGTCAGAAGTACGGGAGGGTGAGAGAATTCACCAGAGCCAGAGCGGAGAGCAGAACAGGCAGACTGACAAAGTACACTGCTGAGGGGAGCAGTGGGTGGCAGGAGAGGTCTGCGCGCCATGTGGGACCCTTGCAGGTGGCCGGGGATCGAACCCGCGCTGCAGAGGCTGCGGGCAGCTTTGCAACCCAGCGCTCAACCAATGCGCTAAAGGGGAGGCCCAAATGTAACAAATTCTTAATGTCATCTAATATGCAGTCTGCATTTAAATTCCTATAATAACGTCATTATCTTACAATTGATTTGTTTGAATTGAGATTTGGTCATAACCCACAAATGTTTATTTTTTATTATTATTTTTAAAGATTTATGCATACAAGAGCTGGGGTGCAGGCCAGAGATGGGGTGGGGTGAGAGGATTCACCAGACACAGAGTGGGGAGCAGAACAAGCAGATGTACTGACATACACTGCTGAGGTGAGCAGC